CCATCGACTCCCAATTTCTCGTTAACTGTAGTGAGATCAGCCTAGGTCTCGATTCTAGATCATTCGTTAAAATGACGAATGGGGTCAGAACTGTACCCTAAGGGCCTTTTGCAGTTTTTTAGCGCAAAATATTTTTAGTTGACTTTTTTAATTTCCCACCGGGAGCTCGCTTTTAAGTTTTTTTTATTACTGCGACTTATTCTTTTAGTTCTGCATGATACCTACTGCTGTCTTCTTTATTATGCTTCTACGTATTCTGATTAGTGTATGTTTTATTGTTTTATGATTTTATTAACTTTCGTCACCTCCCTAGTACGCGCTCGCTTCTATTTTATAATTATCGTTTTATTTCTTTTTCAACTCCTCCTTCTATGTTGCTACAAATTGCATGCATATTCTCTTACTTGTATTATCATAATCATCTTACTACATCTTCTGTTGTTTACTTTCCTGCTTCAAATTATGCATTTTGTGCATTCCATAGGCACTTTTTACTGTTATTTCTATTCCTTCTGCATCTTCTAATGTGTATATGTCTTCCATCCATGCAGACCTTCACAACCTCCCTTCATTTAAATAAATTTATGCGTAAAATAACGCTGGTCGCTCAACTCAGATACCGCTAGCCCCTTGTCCTGTTGTTTGTTTTAATCTTATTCGTTTTAGTTTAGTTAAGTTTTATGTTAATTATAAAATTTATTAGTTATCTCTTATGCTCATTTTAGATTTGCTATAACCTTAATAAGACACCGTCAATGTTTGATTAATATATTTAAATAACTTACATATACCAGAGTGTACTAATCAAACTAAGCTAAACTAAAAATAAAGGAAAATGAAAACTAAACAAAACTAATCACAAGTTAAATTAAGGTAGTCAAATAAATTACGATAAATGTTAAACAAAATTAACATCACCTGTCCAGTAAGCAGGATTACGGGACGAAATGTATCGAAGGTAAACGAGCAACTTTATCGTTGCCTATTTATGCCTACTACTTCTTTATTTTGTTTATTTATTTAATCGTATTCTTTTTGACATTATGTCACCTGCATTTTCTCTTTTTCTTCTTCCTCTTGTTCTTCTTCTATTTATTCTTCGGTGTTTTCCACCTATTCTTCCTCATTTTATCGCACAATTGCTTTTTTTAACGTAAGTCTTCACTCACATGATCTGCTTCGTAACCTTCTTTCTTCTTCTTTTCCTCTTTGTTATTCGTTGGAGTGCATTTATAATATATTTTTGATTATTCTTCTTTTCTTCTGCAATTTGTTCTTTGCTGCATCTTCCTGAATTTTTAGGTTTTTCAGATTTTTACCTTCTTCATCTTCATTATGTTCTTATTCTTCGCTTAATTCTGCTGGGCTTTTAATATACAACTTACTTATTTAAATAAGACATAATTTTTAAATAGTTTCGTCCATCCGTTAATTACGAATATCTATCCTGACCTGTTTCAGGCTGGCCAAGTCGTAATTCGTCGTTTCCTTCCAGCTGGCTTTACTGTACTGTCAACGTTTACACGAAGGTTTATCTGGTCAACGAGGAATTATTAAATAAAACTGAAAGCCTTCTAGATTGGCACAATACCTGTTCAGCTAATGATAAACTCAATTTACATGGCCTAGAAGAAGGCTCGTCAGAGTTTATTAAGTTCAAGATGCAAAACTTAAATGTGGTGTATTTTAATATCCCAAGTTCTCTTTCTAAAAACGTGTGCATAACAAAGGCAGACTAAGGAATTCCCTACCTTCGAGAGAGTTCCGAAAATGTTTCATGACGAGGTACACAGCCAGGAGCTCCCGCCCGAATGTGCTATAGCGCGATTCGGTAGGTTTTAAATGTCCACATACAAGAAAGCTAAAGGTTGGTTCTGACCTGCAAGATGCCGCTAGAGAACCGCACCGACTGCGAAATTGGAAACATCTAACATGAGTCAGATTGGAGCATGATGAAATGGGTGCGTCCAGAGGATGTCATCGGCTAGGGCAGCCTTAACCTTGTCAAAAGCAGCGAGGGCATCTGCAGGTAGCTCGAAAGAACCTTTGGCACCCGAAAGGAGTTTCTTGAGTGGCAACAGGATTTTGGAATAGCTTTGGAGACACTGGCGGTGAAAATTCACCATGCCCAAAAATCGCTGGAGTTGATGCTTGGAAAAAGGAGATTGGAAGTCACGAATGGCCGCAACCTTGGAAGGGAGAGGATGGATGCCGTTGGCGTCAAGAAGGTGTCCAAGAAACTTAAGAGAGGAAACGACTAAATACACACTTGAACGGGTCGAGGACAACGCCAAACTATTGAAGGCGGTAAAAGACCGTTGTGAGTTGTTCAATGTGTTCCAGGTGTCTTATCGTGTCTTTCGGCGCATACTTCGATATTTTCAATAGGTTTAAGAGTGAAAAAAATTGTACATAACAAGTAAGATTTACAAAGTGGTTTTTAGGCATGACCTTTGCCTTAGTGCCTTCTGCAGAAAAACAAATATCTTGAATATAGTGAAAGTCGTGAAATATTCACTGGTATGTATTGACTTTAGTCACATTTTTTACTTAGTTAAATACGCTCTAAAACTTATCTCAATGAATAGGACGTTCATTAAGCACGTAATTTTATGTGCACGTGCCTTTGTTATTATTTGTTTGTTCTTAAAAGTTGGGTTCTCCTATCTTAGGTTCCTGAATTGACAGCAGAAATATATTTAAAAAAAACTTTTACGAAGCTTTATTTATCTACATATATAAAAAGGATTTGTTTACGATCGAACTGGATAGAACTTGAAGTACAATGCCTACGCCAACGAGTGCCCGCAACAGCTGAAGCAGTTACTATACGGCTAGGGAATCCAGGGTTTTGTTGTCAGAAGACGCTGACACAAGCTCTTACACTTCCATGGCCTACACCGACGCCAGATGGCTATAACGTCTCGTCCCTACCAACTAGCGGCCGTCTCTCAACCAACACGCTGATCTCGCTTGCGTGCGTAAACTGACATAGTCCGCAGTGGCCTATCGGCGCCCATGTTAGACATTTACTGATTTTTCTAAATTTTCAAACTTTAATTGTTGGGTACAGCTTTCATTTTCCCCTGGAAAATGCTGAAAAAATACGTTTGTCAGAAACTGACTTTTCAAATCGTCCACGGGAATATTTACGGAACTTAATATCGATTACAAAAAATATGACTCATCAGTTAAGGTCGCGAGTAAAGCCCCAGAAACTCTATGTCTTATAGCGGTGTGTGAAAACGATAACAACATATCTAAGCATAGGTACATGTAGTAGCGTCTGCTTTATTTTCCGCCCATGCTCTTGAGGGTCCTGCTGATAGTGTTAGTCAGCTAGTTTCTACGTATTGTGATTAATAAGGCTATTATGGCTAACCGTTTTCTCTACAATTTTCAGGCCCGGTTTCTTTAGGGAGAGCAGAAGACGATGGGAGGCCAAATGGATAATTTGTGGGAGATTTCAGATCATCTGTTCATCCGCTAGGAGTGCTGGCCAACGACATTCACCTCAGGTCCTTATGTGTTGCCCTTATGAGCTAATATTCACATGGATTGAGGCAAACGTACTTATTGCGACAAGCCCTAGAATGTGATCTTCGCACTGGATGGTTTGAGGTCAGCCTGCTTATTGACGACATCCTAGTTGGCTTACAAATCATCCAATGGATAGTTCACGACGCATTATGTTTGGCGTGACGCTGAGGGGGCAGACGCTGGCGTGCAACCCAAAACATACACTATATTCAACGTAAACACTTATTTCTTCAGACCGCACATACGCCAACATGTTTTCCATTCGCAGCACCGTATCGGTGATTTTGTTTATTATTTCCTGCATTCGTGTAAATCTCCACATAATAACGGTTGTCTGGAAGGCATACATAATATCATAAGATCGTATTAACCATCCCATGGACCACTGGAATCAAACTGCGTGATATGATATTCACTATGGCAACAGTGGTGTACTTTGGTCTAAAAGCACTCTTAACAGACATGACGCTGCTGTCTGCTGTCTATATTTCTCCCTTCCATCCACCCATTCAATCGTTACTCTTCTTCTTCCTCTTCTTTCATTTTAATATGTTTATTGTTAAAACTAAAGTTGGTTGCTTATCTTGGATACCCCTGACCCCTAGTCCTGCAGTTTATTTTAGGAAATACGTTGGAGGATAGACTTGTATAGCTGATTAGAAGACTACGAAGGAACCAGCGACGTTGGAAAGAGAAGACCCGAAACGGTACTTTCTGCACGGATTCAAGGTCGTTTTGTCTGGTGCTGCTTTCGCTTTCCGCGGGGCAGTAACTTGTGACTCCAAAATCACTGCCGACCAGGGGGGTCATTGCACTCAAGAGTCTGTAGTTTTCTTCTACGGTACCATCGGACCACTTTCACGATATTCTCTCAAGGCCATCAAGCTGTACCTCTCCAAGCCCTTGGGTCTGGAGTCCATGGGACACGAGCGCACTCGTCAACTTTGCGGTGTGCTTCAGCTTCTGTTTGGCAGCAGCGCAGGCCTGTCAGGATCCTGCAAGGGACCACGAACTGCAGGGGTTGATACTTCCAGAGGTGCTTGCCATTCCAACTATGCTAACTAGTCCTTAATCCGCTGAAATTGAAGGAACAGTACTATATTCGAGGGAATTTATGTGAGTTCGTCTTGTTATTAGGAAGATGTGCTGAGAAATGCGTCCAATAAAACTGCAATCCCAGAGGCTGCATTAGACCGTAATAACAAAGATGGCCTTTTAACTCCTCAGGACACAGTAATTAACTTGTTTGACCGTGTTTTTTGTTTACCACATGGCTACTTGAGAGCTAAGACAAACGTATATTTTGCTATGCAGATGGATGTCCACAAAAGTATTTCAAAATTGTGGCAAAATGTCGGCCCAACTTTACCATTAATACCTTGAATAGAAGTCGAACATGGTAGATATTCGTCAGCTGGTTTTAATCAGGTCTTACGCTTAATTATTTTCCTGACTGTTTTCGGGGAGCTGTATGTTACTAAGTAATGAATTTTCACTTTTGGTAAAATTCATACATATGACCGAAACATCTATTTTTAAAATGAAATGCTATTGAAATAAGGGAGATTGGTTTTTATTTCCAATCACTAATCTTTTCACCTGCAATTTTTTTCTAGCTGTAACTTCATTTCCCTTTTCTTTCTGTTTCCCATCTTCTTATACTTGGCTTGCTTCTTCTTCTTCCGTCACTTTTTCTTTTGTTCCTACAGTGTTTACTGTTATTCTCTTTTTAGTTGCTATTTCGTTATTCCCGCTTCTTCTTTCGGTTCCAATTCTTCTTCACCTTCGTCTTCTATTGCCTTCATTTTATACTTTGTATTCCCCTTCTTCGTTTTTTGCTACTCCCGTGGTGGGTGAGTTTGGATTCCAGCGGGGAGTCCTGATCCAACAATGAGCTACGACACACACACACACACACAAACACGTCTCCACCACCTCTCATCGTCACCATCCCTTCACCGCACAGTTTTATCTCACTGTAAAACCTATCTTGCCTTGAGAGTCGAGCAGCCGACAAGTTGGTCTCTGATCGCTTCGTCTGGCCTTTTCTGCACAAGGACCTCAAAGCTTGGACACGGGTTTGCCTAAGCTGTCGACGGAGCAAGGTCAATCAGCATAACAAAGCATCCAATGGCACCTTCCTCGGCCCTGATGCAAGGTTCAATCATTATCCACCTGGACATCGTAGGCCCCCTGCCTCTGTCCAACGGCCGCTCCTACCTTCTCACCTGCGTGTATCAATTCACCCGGTGGCCTGAAGCTATGACTCTCCCCAATGTCGGGACTTCCATTCTGGTCAAGGGCTGTTAGCAATACCCGAGAGGAAACTAAGGGTTCGAGACACGTCCCC